CATCTGCATCGCTCAAACGTGTTATAAAAATTAACTAACGAATAGTGAAACGGTGATTATTGGTTATATCGTCAGATAACATCAAGATTTTCGTCGTTTCTATCAATATCTTTTGATTTTCTCTGCTCTACAGTGATAATTATTACCATCATTAATATCGTCAGATAATCGTTAATGCAGCAACAAATCCACTCTCTTTACTGCGCTCACTGCTCTTATCATTTCAAATATTTACAGTTCTCTTCATCCACTTCTCATTGTACCTATTGCTAATATCATTTCAAATCGCGAATAATTCATCGCTTAAAAGTTGACTACCCAATCCCAAATATTTTCCTATTTGAACATAAATCATCAAGCACACATACAGAACTAACTGATTATTTGAACTAAGTGTTCTTCTGTCACCAATACAAAATCCTCAAGCCACATTTCCAACTAACCACTAACTCTTCAATATCGCCTTATTATTAATTCAAATAAATCAGATACAACTCGCAATAGCAACAATAAAGAACAAATTTCAAACCATGGAAGGCAAATACCGAGAATGGCTCCAGCTAATGAAATGTTTGAAGAACAATGAAACGGAAGCTGAAGTAAAGCGCTACGAAGAATTCATGCTGGCGCTGGGCAACTTCTCGGAACGAATTGAAGAAGTATGGGAACCCATAGCCGTCATAGAAGTCCAACTAGATGAAATCAGAAATCTCTTGAACAGCAATAGCAACGAAACTGAAAATATGACAGCGACAAAAACAACAAGCCCAACCGTTCCACCATTTGACTTGCTAAAAATCCATCCGCCGAATTTCAATGGTGACCCAATGACACTTCAATCAGAAGAAGTAGTTAAAAGTAAACATGTAGATGAAGCGTGGACAATGGAAACGTTACAAAAGTTATTGAAATAATATGGAACAAGTTTTATCACCGAGCACATTTAGCACCAAGAGAGTTACTGGAATCACACCAAAATTGGTGTAATTCGAAACTGAACGAATTAATGGAACAAGAAAAGCAATTCAGACAAATTCCGGCTCAACTCTCATAAGAGAATTAAAAGGATCAAAAGATCGGAAAGCAGCAAATGAATCATCCTGTTATGAGAGTATGATGCAACCAGACATCTTCTCAAATCGAGTTATCCGATAAAGAGAGCGAAAATTTGATAATCACATCGGCGCGGCAACAGCCATGGTTGTCAAGAAATTAGAACAAACCGTAACCAAATGGCGAATTTACACTGTACTTGTTACACTGATCGCTATTCTGAGCTGCTTAAGCTTACTGTAAGAATTCTGGTGATGTGCAGTTTGCAAGTGCAAAAAAAGAGAAAGTCAAACAACTGGCATCCGGAAATTTTGATGATCTTCAATCCCAAGTTGAAAAGGGACGCCAAAATTACGTGCGAGACGACGGTCTACAGCGCAATATGACTCTCAACGTTACGATCCATGACACAGCAACATTACTTAATCGGTAATGATACTAATTGGATTACCACCAACGGTTTATGGACAATAATATTAATCAGTAGATGGATAATGACGTCGATTGGATCGCAAATCCATGACAAATCGTTATGTTGTCCTCAAATGCCTGATGATGAAAATGCAATCCGTTCCGAAGCAATACAGAAATGAATGATCATGTGTATGTCAGTTAGTCTTCAATTGTTTGAGTTTCGAGTGCACGTCATTTTTCTTTTTTAAATGTAGTTTGGACTACCATAAAAGTTTATGAGAACAGTCACGAATGTACCTTTTAATTTTCACTTATAAAATGTACCATATAAAAAGCTATTTTAAATGTTAAGTCAGGACATTGATTGTCAGGACATAAAAAGCTACATTTCAATTGCGATACAATTGATTCAGATATTTAATGTTTCAGGTAATCAGTGCTTTCAACTACCATACATTACAGCTGTCGCTGCTACTATATGCTTTTGGATCTGTAACCTCGTGAAATTATATTATCATCAGTCTGATTAGCATGAGTCCATCACAATTCCCGGGCGGAGTGTCACAACTAGGGTTTGTAAAATCCCAACGTTTTTTCAATCCCGGGATCGATTTTTATCCCGGGATAATCCCGGGATCGAACAATTTTTG